CGCGCGGCCCCCCGGGTCTGCCCCGTCCGAGCCTGGCTCCACCGTGCACCGTCCTCACCGCAGTCCCTTCCCTCACGCCAGCGTGGGCAAAACCTCCCTCCTGCACCAGTACGTGCACAAGACGTTCTACGAGGACTACCGCACCACGCTGGGCGCCAGCATCCTCACCAAGGTCATCGCCGTGGATAACACCCCTCTGAAACTGCAGGTAAGAGCCGGTGCTCCAGCAGCAGCGGGGCCAGAGCCTGCCGTGGGTGCGCGCCTGGCTCCCGTGGGTGCCTGCATCCCGGCGCGCCCCAGCATCTCCCACGCTTGCAGCAAAATGCCTGTTGGCATCATGAGGTGCAGGGCCGGGTTTACTGGGACTGCTTTTTTTAGTAACACCGAGCACCGGTGAACCAGACGGTAATCCAACGTGTTCCAGAGGCTCAGCGCTCCCGAACTCAGCGGAGCACGGGGCTGCTCAGGCTGAGCGTCCGCACCCTCTCTGCCCTAGATCTGGGACACGGGGGGACAGGAGCGGTTCCGGTCCATGGTGTCGACCTTCTACAAAGGCTCGGACGGCTGCATGCTGGCTTTCGACGTGACCGACCGGGAGTCCTTTGAGTCCCTAGAGAACTGGAGAGATGACTTCCTGGAGAAGGTCATCCCCAGGGAGCAAGACTTCCCCATGGTCGTGCTGGGGAATAAAATAGATATCTGCGACCGGCAGGTAAGGGGGGGGGTCTAGAGAGCAGGGGCTCAGGGACTCGGGTGCTCCTTAATGGAGGCGCCGTAGAGTCCCAACGGCTTAAAAACGCTGATCTTCCACCCAGTCAGGCCTGTCTTGTGTCTTGAGTTCAGTCACGTGGAAAGCGGGGCTCCCAGGCGGAGCAGTTCAGGGCATGCCGATGCCGAGCCCTGCGTGGCTGGTCCTGCACCTCGCAGGGCCGGTCCCGGGCCCTGCCCACCGTCTCCCACGAGCCTCTTCGCCGAGGCCAACGGCGAGGCCTTTGGAGGCAAAGGGTGCCCCACCGAGGGGAACAGGAACTAAGCATCCCGATTTCCGCCTACGCTCCCAGCGTCCTGCCCCTGCCCAGCGGCGCTTGGGGGAAAGCTGGGGAGACCCGGAGGCGTCCGGGCCGACGGCGAGGAGGGTCGCCTTCGTCAGCGGCTGGCCCGGGCCCCGTGTGGGGCTGCGCGG